AAAAAAAAATGAAGGGACTTTTCTGGAATAAAATACACTAGAAATACCAAACAAATGCAATCTTTGACAGCATCCTGGTTTTTACCAAACACCTATAACTGCTCTGTGTGTTCAGAAATTTTAAGAATAAAAAGTTGAGGGGAAAACCAAAAAATGTCAGCGCCATCTCAGAAAAATTATGTGGGATTATGTTTTGGCGGTAACCCAGAGAGAGGGAATCACCTTAAAACGTGTTTTAAAGAAAGCAGGATTATAGGTGTGTGCATTTTTGGTAAAACGTTGGGGATGGTGCCTTATGGGAACTCAATATTTTCTTAAGGACCAAAATTTAAAATACAGAAACTTACAAGGTAAGAGGAAAGCAGGTCCTAGTTATGAAACATGCTCGTCAGCGTGATGCTTTAAGTACAACTTGTTTGGAGTTCATAATATGCTGTCTTCATTAATCCGCAATCAGAGGTTTGAGTCACCAAAATAAATCTTCAGGGTTTAGCACACAGAGTTTGCTATTGAGCAGTATGACATATGATACCCTCTGCCCTTTAGCTACTGATGTGACTCCAGCTTTTCCAAGCCAAAAGCAGAATCTGAGATTACAGCAACATATATTTAAGGGTGTGTTTTTGCAGATGCTGGTTGGGACATGAAGCCAAATGTAGGCGTGATTAAATGCTTAGAACAAAGTGGAAACTTCACTGGGGGAAACATTTTTGGGAGGAGAGATTCAAGTTACCTTGAACGCATAACCTTGTTAGTTCCACCAGAGTGGGTAACCACAGGGTGCGTGTGTGTGTGTGTGTGTGTGTGTGTGTGTGTGTGTTGGGGGGGTATCCTCACAAAAGGACACGGAAACTTCTCTGCAGTTCTTAGGAGAAGGAGACCTGGAGATGTCTTGCAGGGGGGTGGGGAAGATCTTGGAAGGTGGGGATTTCTTCTGGACTTCAGGGAGAAATGATGAAACCAAAGGGGAACAATTCAAAGCAGATTAGTGAATTCATTCTGGTATTCGTGAGTTCAAAGTGGAGTCTAATCAGATCTGTCCTCCCGCGTCTGTTTGCCAAGCCGGCACCAGGCAGGATTCCCCAAGCTGCTTCATCACTCCCTGCGATTCTCTGTCCAGGACGTTCTCCGGCCTCACCCCGGAATCCGTGTTCAACTCTTCTCCGGCTGAGCTGTTCTTTGCCATCGCCCCCGCCCCCCCGAGAGACCGACTCCCCAACGCGGCAGGCAGCACCCCTCGGCTCTCACACCCATCCCGGACTGCGGCGTGAGGAGGGGGTAGCAAAGCCACCAACTCTCGGAAAACTTCCTCGCGGGAGGTGACTGGGGTTTTCCGGCTTCCCCCAGCCCTCCCGCGCCCGGCCACCAGGCAATCGTTAAAGTGGTGCGACAACTATTGCAGGTTCTGAGCTGCAGAGGCCGGGGCGACCCGCTGCGACGCTTCCCCGGCGGGGATCTGCGCCCTCTGCCACCGAATGCGCCCAGGACGCGGCCGCCGCCGGCCCAGGGCTGCTGGCGGGGCCCGGCCAGTGCGGGCAGACTTTGCGCCACGATGCTTTGTTTTCCTGCCGCAGGAACCCGAGGCGGTCTCTCTCCACCAGACTTAACCCGCCCGCAGCAATAGCCATGGAAGTTGCGGCGGCACAGAGGGAGAGGGAACCGCTCCGCGCGGAATCTGTTTTGGATGTTTTTTCTCTAGACAGTTCGCTTCTTTCCTCCTTGGGGTAAGTGGAATCTAGTGCGTAATAACCAAGGGGAAGAATCGGCGGCGGTGGAAGGGGGTTGCAGAAACACAAAGGGTTAATGTGCTAAGTTGTTTTTCTTGCGGGGGGGGGGGGCTCTTCCTGTACACCCTCCAGCCCCTCCAGCCCTTTCCACATACCCACTTTAGGAGCGGGGCTCGGTGTCAGGCGCATTTGGGGAGGTTGTGCTGGCATCACTTACTTACTTATTTACTTAATTTTTCGTGGACCCCTCCCCCATTTGTGTTGTCCACATACTGAGAAGGGAGAGTGAAAGTGGAGGAAAGAGAAAGCCCCAGAGGTTGGGGTGGGGGGTGGGGGGGCGGTGAATTACCAGAGAGATCCTAAGGGCCTGTGACTAGGGCAAGTCTTCAACCCACATCAGGCACTTCAGACCCCTGATCCTACTCCTTCACCCCAGCAGGTCCATCTGAAACCTGCCTAAGCCTCCAAATAACGGTCCTGCTTATGCCTTTCTGGGGCAAGGTTCTCCCAGGGCCCCATGAAACTTCTGAGGGAAATCTCCAGTATGTCTCATCCATAAGACCTGCTCAATACGTGTTTGTTGATTGACTGAATGATGCACCCTAGGGCTACATTTTGCGCCAGGGGAATTTGCCTTGGATATTAAACTAATTCCCTGATGTAGACCTCAGGGCAGCAGGGTAGCCCAATTCATTTTGCAAAGGAGGAAGGGCTGGGATCCTAGATAATAGAGTATTTAGATCTTCATGACCCAAAGATCCTATCTGACGGCTTCAGGGTCAGATTTATGGGTGCAGGGACCAGATGAGCTCCCTTGGGTTAGAATCTCCGTGTTGTGACCTTGGGTGTGTTCCTTTACCTCTCTGGGCCTTGATCTTCTCATCTGTAAAATGAGGCTGGTTAGAGCTTCTTCAACATGACACAGGGAAGATAAATGCAGAGAAGTATGAGGCTGTGAGGGGCCATTTGATACATGTCAGTCTTTCTTCCCTGTTCTCAGAGGCTTTGGGAGAGAGGGTATCTTTCTCTGGGGGCACCTCTCTCTGACTCAGATGCAGAGGAAAACATTGCATTGCAGTGACTGGGTTCGAGCCCTCCTGCCTGTGAGCCGTTAAGGAGAGGGCAGAGTGAACCTCTGAAGGCTGTTTCAGGAGCTTAGAAGCAGCTCACTTCGGGTTTGGGGACAGAATTTTTCTGGGGTCATGGCTGGAGAAGCAGAAATTCCTTGTTTGTCTGATTTCTGTGTCTCATCCATCCTTCTGCACTTCTCGTAGAGGGAAACAAAGTGTGGAAATGGACTCCCAGAGAAGGTGGCTGTTAAGTGCCTTGGGAACCTGTGTCTTCCCAAAGGGCTGAGGGGTCAGAGTACTGCCATCAGACCGGGACCAGGTTTGCCTGGATGGGGTCTGCATTGAACTCAGGAGTCCAGTCCCAGCAGCCTGCAGGGTCAGTGACAAAGCACTTACCAGCCCTTCCCACAGATGACAGTGGACCTCTGTGGATCTTGCCCTGGGACTCGGAAACCTGGATGTGACTGCGGGGGATGGGAAGGACGCTGCTGAAACAGGGCTCCCAGAGGCCTCAAGGTGCCCTAGAGTGGCAACCGCCAACGTAGGGGTTCAGGACCGTAGCAGGCAGCCTTGGGAATGAGCCTGGTAGTCACTTTCTTGTTCATAATTAAGGGCAACGACAAATCTAACCGGACCTCGTGGGCACTCGACAGTAAGACCCACGGAAGCAAGGTCCATACCTGTGCCGGTCTCTGCCACACGGCCAGCACCTAGCACAGTGATGGCACGTAGAAGGGGCTTAAGATACAGGTCGAGTGGACAGTGAATGGACAGGAATTTAAACTACTTTCTGTCCAACACTACTTCATGCAGCTTATGCCTTCATTTAGCGAGTGTTTCTTGAACATCTACTATGTGCAAGTCTCTGTTGCTAGGAGCCGAAATAATTTGTAAGCGTCATTCATATCGGTACTTCGAGTGGCTCGTTCGAGTGCATTTCAGCACCACCTGGCTCTTCTGGAGATCGAGGCCTCACGGAAAGCCCCCGTGCGGCTTCAGTGAGAGCTGGGGTAGGGGAGAGGCGCCAGGTTCAGCCTCTTTCCGGGAACATGTGTGGGGTTCCTTTGCACTTGCCCGGGCTGGGCCCCCGGGCTCCCGGGGCCGCTAGGTCTTGGCAACTCCAGTTTCCTCTGGGGTCGTGGCGTCTCTCTCCAGCCGCCTCCCCCGCCTCCGAGCAAGCGGCCCCAGCCGGGCTGCAGGTAGCTGGGGAAGGGACCGGGCTGCGCCTGGGGAGCGAGCTTCTCCGGGTGGGGAGAGCGCGGCCAACGCGGAGCGGTCCCAGAACAAAAGGCTCATGGCTGGCACCGGCCTCTTTCGAGTGAGCTGGGGACGCGGGTTCGGGGCGCAGGCGGGAGAACCGGGCGCGGGGTGGGGGGGGGGGGACTGGAGTGAAAAAATGAAGTGAGGAAACAAACAAAAAAAAGGGTGTGTGTGTGCGCGCCCAGGGTGGCAAGAGGTCACCCCCGAGGCCGAGGTCTGCGGCGGGGCGGCCGAGGCCCTCCCTCCGCCTCCTGCTGCGCCTTCCAGGCAGCCAAGCGTGTCTCCGGCTGCAACTCCACCGAGCGCGCCGCGGCTGCCTCCACGCCTGCCCGCCCGCCGGCCGGCCGAGCCAGTA